GTTTCTGGCGTGGTGTAGCCGGCTGCAGTGAAGTTGTCGCTGTATCTCTCCATGCCGATGGCCTGCAGCCAGTCCTCCACTGTGCCCACAGCCGAGGATGCCTCTGGGCTGCCTGGCTCCAGCAGCGTGGCGTTGGGCCTGTGGTGGGTGGACAAGAGAGAAATGAAGCTTCATTTTTAACACTTAGGCTTTAAAGGATGGGATTGCTTTCACATTTGGTCTGCTTTTACAGTCAGTGTTTGAAGTTGGAGCTTTTTATTTCAGGTCATAAATCAAAATGGAGACCAGTGATTTCAGTTTTTGACTTGGAAGGTAATTATATCTTCTCTAAAATGCTACTGATTCACCACAACTACATCAGTGTTAATGGAAACAGTTTCTTCATTTCCAACTACGCTGCCATAATGTGACAGTTACACTTTATCTGATGAGAGACGCCGACCCGCAATGTAAAGACCATCACGCTACATTTCTTTCTAGCTTTTCCTCTTTCAACGAAGTCATACTTTCAGGTATGAATTCATTCAGGTTCACCTCTGTTCTGTGTCTCAGACATGTGGGGGGGGGGACTCAGAGACTGAGCCAAGTTCAACACCGTTCCATTACGCTGAGGCGACACAGTTCGTTACTTCTCATTTTACAGAAAACGTGTAAGTCGAGCACACTTCAGTGAGTTTTATAGCACAACATTTTCTCTTAAAATTCCCATAAATCCCATTTGAATCCCTCTTCCCACTTTTTCACTACTTTCACCATTTTTTGCTGCTATGAGGTATTCACATGCATGCAGAGGTAACTCTGGATCGCTGTTGTACGGTTTTATTTCATACTCCATCCATCCATCCATCCATCATTATCCGCTTCTTCCTTTTATGGTCATGGGGTTCACTGGTGCCCATATCCAGCTATCACTGTGCCAGACGGGGACATCCTAGACAGGTCTCCAGTCCATCACAGGAACACACAGAGACAAACAACCATTCACTCTCTCACTCACACCTAGAGACAATTTATAGAGTTACCAGTCAGTCTAACATGCATGTTTTTGGTCTGTGGGAGGAAACCGGTGTACCCAGAGAAAACCCAAGCACCACAAAGAGAACATGCAAACTCCACCCAGAAAGGTCCCCGGCCGGGATTTAAACCAGCAGCCTTCTCACTGAGAGGCAATAGCTCTCCCAACTGAGCCACCGTACTACCATACTCCAACTCTCTCTAATATTCTCGCCTATTTAAAAAAGGATCTTGAGGTGAACTCTATTTATTAAGTCATCTCCACTCATTAGGTGGAAAATGATATTCTTTAAGCTACACCCCCTTCTAGTTCTGTAACTGTAAAAATCCCTTTTAGAAGATTCAGCCCTACTAATTACTCCATAAGGACTCCCGACTCGCTCTCACTGTGTCCCATTAGGTGAGCATGCGTGACAGTGCAACGCGCTCACGCACTCGTTAAACTCCAACAGACTCCCGCTTTGTGTTCTTTGAGTCTGTAAACACACGCGGGTCATTATGAACACGTTTAGCTGCTGGAGAGCGGTGGTGCTGGAGATATAGGGCCATGTTTGTTTTAACTCGGCATTACATCGTAATTCTCCCCCGGTCAAAGAGGGTACATTCCTGAATGTGCAGCACCATTAAAGCTATTTTGCAGAGAAATCCATTAGAGAGGGTATTGTTGGGCAGAGAAGAGCTGTTAGATAACGTGTAATTGTAAATGGGTTGGTGTGACCAGTCGAATGCTAAGTGCATTGTACATTTTGCTGTACTTTGTTAGTCTAGCAGCTAGTGTGTGATTAATAACGTATTTGTAGGTTGCATGTGTAAACAACCTTGCTGCCCCTTTGTGTCTATGAAGTCTTTTAATTTTCAGCTAAGTGTACAATAAACTTCACACCCATGCAAAGGTTTAATTTAAACGGTCATGGAAATAACTAAACTTTTAAATCTTTACTAAATGGAATAGTAGTTGCAAGACTTTTTCCACTTATCTATTTTTGTCTGCTGACTCAGCAACGTTACTGCCTTTAAAATGTATTCTCGATGATGATGATGATGATGATGATAAGATAATTACCATTAAGGGATTGTAATGTGACGGGTGTTCCTGAAAGTCTGACAAATTGCATATGCATCCAAATTGTAAAAATATGATTTTAAATGTGCATTATTATAAAGTTTGTTATATCATTTACCATCTGATTTTTAGGTTTTTAAGTACGTTTGATTTAGTTGAGGGCAGCACGGTGGCGCAACTGGTAGAGCTGCTGCCTCTCAGCGAGCAGGTCCCTGGTTCAAACCCCGGTCCAGGGGCCTTTCTGGGTGGAGTTTGCATGTTCTCTCCGTGCATGCATGGGTTTTCTCCGGGTTTCCTCCCACAGACCAAAAACATGCATGTTAGGCTGATTGGTAATGCTAAATTGTCCCTAGGTATGAGTGAGAGAGTGAATGGTTGTTTGTCTCGTTTGTCTCTATGTGGCCCTGTGATGGATTTGCGACCTGTCCAGGGTGTACCCCGCCCCTCGCACAGTGATTGCTGGACATGGGTGCCGGTGACCCCCGTGACCCAAAATGGAAGAAGTGGGTAAAGATAATGGATGGATGGATGGATGGATGTAGTTGTGACAGTTCCACTCTATGTTAAAAAAAACATCTTCTCTCTTTGGAGCATACAGGAATCCAACAAGCACATTTATCATCACCACCAGTCGGTGTTGTCTGTGAACAAGGGCTCATCCTTTTATGATGTTCTAGATTTAAAATACAAATAATTATTTTAGTATCCATTTTCTCTCACCTGACAGCGGTATCTCCTCCGGTCCTCTTCAGGGTGTTGGGGTTGCGGATCAGTTTGTCCAGCATGTTGACAATCTGTCCAAACTTTGGCCGGTCGGCTCGCTCTCTTTGCCAGCAGTCCAGCATGAGCTGGTGAAGTGCCACAGGACAGTCCATGGGTGGGGGCAGCCGGTAGCCCTCATCAATAGCCTTGATCACCTAGACAGAAGACAAATGATGTAAGTGGCTTTGTCTCAGAGTTTAATGGTAATTTTACTCTAGGCTGCCTGATTGCTATGTTAATTTAAATTAATTACTTTAGAGACCTCCCTAAGACATTTGTTTATGCCTAAATTAAATTTTTTATCATTATGAAGGAAACTCCAAATACAAATTTAGAGCGTAATAAAGAAAGAAAACACACTGCTGGTGTTCTATGACCACCTAAGGATTTGAATATATAACCAGGTTAAATTGATGAAGGCTTTTTTAAATACTTGTTGACAGTACACAGCTCTGATATTCCAAACTAATTTAAGCTGTCTTTTATTTATGAGCTTCTGTGTATAATTACATTTCTCCACACTTACGTCCTGGTTACTCATGTCCCAGTATGGTCGCTCTCCATATGACATGACCTCCCACATGACAATGCCATAGCTCCACACGTCGCTGGCTGAGGTGAACTTCCTGTAAGCAATGGCCTCTGGGGCTGTCCAGCGGATGGGGATCTTGCCACCCTGTAATTGAAATCTGGACTGATTAATTATTGCTGACAATTAAGGTGACAGGCAGACACACAGCTGGGTACACACACACACACTCACCCTGGTGGTGTATGCAGCTTCAGGGTCATCCTCCAGCACTCGAGACATACCAAAGTCAGACACTTTGCAGACCAGGTTGCTGTTGACTAGGATGTTACGAGCTGCCAAGTCGCGGTGAACATAGCTCATATCTGACAGGTACTTCATGCCAGACGCAATGCCACGAAGGATGCCGACTAACTGAATAACTGTGAATCGACCATCGTTCTTCTGCCGAACAAATAAAAAAGAACAATATTAGTCTTATAATCGAAGTCCTTTAGACAGGAGCACACTAGAGAAACAAGTTTTTGACGAGTACGCCAATGTCACCAATTATTAAGGGATTTGAATAGTGGATGTATGCACTTCATGAGATGAGTGTTTTTCTGGACTGGAACTGAAAAAGTAATGCAAGTAAACCTTAATGTTTTTGTTGCAAAGTATTCAAGTGAGTTCAAGTTACACTGTCTTTAAGAATAGAGAGAGTTTTTTGTTTTTGGTCCGAGGCAGCGTAGAGTTACAGCGAGTGGAGGGAGCAGCTTTATTCACCATCAGGCGCAATGGCAAAGTAAGGGGCTCAATTTTCAAAAGGGACCTTTTTCTAAGCCTGGATGCAGCCGCACACTAAAATGGAAGCCGGTTCCTCACTTATTTTTTTCTACAAGTTATCCAACTCACAGGGTATATATATATATATATATATAAATAACAGGTCTCTCTTGTAAATGAATCCTCGAGGCTCATTGAGACTAACCTGTATAAATAAAGGTTAAATTGAATATACATATTTGGCTGCAGCAGTTTGGATTTGGAAATGGGGACCCAATGTTCAAAATGAATCTTTCTGATGCTGAGATGGAGGCACCCACACACCAAAATGGAAGTCAATGACATGCAAGGACAGACAGAAGGAGGGTATTTACAATTCCCCCATTTCGCTTTGCAATATGACACAAAAAAGGCTAAATGGTCAAATAAACACTGCAATGTACTCTATGATGACTTTATGTCAAGCAAACAATTGTTAAAGATCTTTGAGCTCATTTTTAAACACATTGTTAGATGTGTCTGTTATGTAAAAATGGTGGAATGCACTAATAAACACAATCTAATAAACCAGTTTCTCATCCATATTACGTTGGATACTAATGCAGCTCATTTTAAATTGAAGTCTTGTCAAAACAAAGAAACTATCAAAATGCAACTATTGCCATGTGATTTTAAGACTTTATGTTTTCAGGTTTAGAAAAATAGAAAAATATAGTCCAAAAGCACGTTTAGGCTGCCTGCAGGCTCAGGCCTCCATTGCAAGAGACTTGTAGTTTCAAAAGGATTTGCTTGGTTAAATAAAGGTTAATAAATTAATTAATAACAGAAAAATAAAAAATAAAAACTATAAAAACTGTACATTTTATGTGACATACCAAAAATCCTTTGTAACCTGGTGTTGCTTTGTTGAAAATAAGATTTTTACTGTAAACGTTTTATCAACTGTCTTTTTTTTTTCAACCAAAAATTAGGTAAAACTTGTATGATGTTAATAATAATAATATTTTTAAAGAAAAATTAATTTGGCCCAAATCAAAATTGGCAAGTCCAAGCTTTTTTTTTTAATCTGTAAAGTTAGCCAAAGAAACTTCACTCACTCTAAATATTTTTATTTGTTGGTCATAAAAGACAGTTAGTTTTTTGTTAAAAATTTGCATTTTGGAAAAATTTGTTTTCATTTTAAACCTAGGCAAGTTTTATTTTATTTTTTTAATTAACTTCACTCGCCCTCTACACGCCTTGTAAAACTAACATCAGTCAAATCAAGTGCAGTGAATGGAAACCAAAGACGAAGCCAGTGATGCAAACTCCTTGTCAGAAAAACTGTGGGTCGATCAAAGCGGATAAAGATTAAGACCAATGTTTGTGAACCAACACTTGTTCTTTCAGCAGATGACATTACAGAGATAAGATAACATCAGCAGGTTATGGTTGTGTTGCACACAAACACACATGCACTCGTGCACAAACAGACGCACATGACTGACCCTCAAGAATGCATCCAGTGATCCGTTTTCCATGTACTCGGTGATAATCATCACTGGCTTACCTAGAGAGAGAAAGAGCGAGTGGGAGAAAGGCAGATGATAATGTTGGTAAACGATGCACATCATAGCTCGACGCAGGAGGCTGGATCTTAAGGGAATCTCTGAGTATGTGTGCATCTGAATCTGTGTTAGGCCGTCCATCTCTGTCCCGTAGATATTTAATTAGCTCTGTGTTGCAGTGGTCTCCCTTCATTCAACACATTCAACGATGTCTCCAGTAGAACCAAACGCCACGGCATACACTCAAATATGAACTGACATTGGATGCATCATACAACATCTGATCGAGTAACCCACCCAGACTCGTTACTTGTGTCCTTCATTGCCCCTTTACCCTCTCTCCAAATCTCAACGCATCTGCCACTCTGCTAGTTCTTCATCTTTTCCCCTCTCTTCCCCCCTGAACCCTGCCACTCCTCTCTGGCCTTTTTCACCCCGGCTCCCTGCCTTCCCCTTTTCTGTCTCCCTTGAGGGAACATCTGTGACTTTCTCTGAGTCTGGGCAAGCAGCAGTTTGGGGTGAAAATTCCCTGGTGGGTCTCTTGTCTGTTTTTGTCCCTAAGGATGAGTGGGTACTGAAGGGGAGAGAAGGGGCGAGGGGAAAAAATGAAAATAAGGGTGACTGATTTGTTTTCATCCCAAAACGGCAGCAAGTTGGTGCCTAACCATCTATGGTGGTGACACATGCCAAAAAGTGCTGCCACAAATCCTTCCCAGGAAATCCCTATTCTTTGTTTCATTTCAAGTGGAGTGGTTAAGGTGGATTTAAAAGCTTTTTTTCTTTGAGAAGTGCTGACTTAAACCTGCTCTTTAGAAGTGAAGCTGTGTGAAAAAAATCTGGTGTGCTTTTGCAGAATGTCAAAATCAGCAGAGAGCCAGCTGAGCAACTGGCATCTAAGGTCTAAAAACTGAAATTCCTTCTCTCCAAAGCAGACCTCTGCTATGCCAAAAGGCCGTCAGACACCATTTTATCTGTCGTGTGATTGGCACTTTATTAATTACCAAGGATGTTGGTGATGCCCCAAAAAGAGGAAGTGGAGCTAAAGTTGGGGGAGTGTGTGGGGCACTTTTTGTCAGCCATCTTTGTTCTCTTTGTTGTGTGTCTCTGCCCCAGGGCAGTGAATGATTGACAGCTTTGCAATCAAGTTCGAGGAGCGTCTGACCCGCGACCTTAAACTCTCGCCTGCATGGCCCCGCCCTCTTCCCTCCAGTCCATTTGCATGCTAATTCCTTGTTTACTGAATACGTCCCGCCGCCTTTGGCAATGAACTCTAGGCAAGGGCTGCATCAGAGAACCAATTATCAGCTGCCAACAAAACTGTTGGAAGTTTTGGGGGAGACCCAGCAGGGGTCCAACATTGGAGTAACGTTGTGCAAATGTTCTCTGGGGGCCCAAGCAATGCATGCAACAAAGATTTGGCTTTCAAGAGTAGATCATAAATTAGCATTTTTCTACTTTATGTAAATAAGCTTTTAAACATATTACATCTTGATTTCAAGCTCTAATAGAGGCTAAATTTTAATTAGAGTGACATGTAACACCATATATACAGACTTAGAGATGGTAGACTGCAGAGAGCGGTGGTCAATGACAGATTTTTGCACATTTTTGTAGTATAGAGCCTATTTGGAGTTTCTCCATTATTAATGAGCCTTAATTGGCTCTGTTGGACGTGCCAGCAAACTGAAGCCAATCTTAATTCCTTTTAAGTTGATTGTAATGGAGAGTGGAATGCAATTCAAATAATGGATTTTTAATAGATTTCACTGACACTCTAAAGTGCGAAGGATTCTTTACCCAAATATTGGATCAAGTTCTCAGAAAGTGGAGGCATGGAGTAGTTGTTTATTTATTGTATGTGTATTTATTTCATGCTGCTGTGTTCATTTGTGCTCATCTGCTCACACAGACTCATGTTCATGCTGCTTTTCTTCAGTGTATTGTTTTTGTACTATTTGTACTTAGTGTATCTTTTGTTTCAGCGTATTCTTAGTTCATA